ACATACATGGCATCATCTGGAAGTGGGTACTACATACATGGCATCATCTGGAAGTGGGTACTACTGGGTAGAGACACATGTGCACACAACACAGATGATGAAATGCAGACATCAGCAATCATGTAACTGGTGGCTCTCCAGCCCCTTTCTCAGGCCAACATATTTTAACCCTATGTGGCACAGTCATTGTGGGCTATGAGCAATGTGTGAGTACGTAGACCATGGACAGCCTGCAGTTTGGACATGCCTCCATCTGTTGGCGGCTGGTCTTCTGACCATTTCCATCACCCTCTCAGGCATATTCAAGAGTTCTTGCTACATCGACGTGCGCTGGTTCCCCTTCGACATGCAGCAGTGCAAACTCAAGTTTGGATCCTGGTCTTATGGAGGGTGGTCACTGGATTTGCAGATGCAGGAGGCAGACATCAGCGGCTACATCCCAAATGGAGAGTGGGACCTTGTGGGTAAGCACGTGGGCACTCATCACTGGACAGACTGCTAGCAGATACGCTGGGTAAACGGCCTGCGAGAAAGTTTCTTGTGGTCTCTTTAAATGTTTGTGATTTTCCACATCACTTTTCAGTGTGAATAATTTACTGAAAGCCTTATGATAGGAAACGTCAAACAACTAGAAAACCCATGGCTTCCCCTGAAGAATAGGTGATCATAGCAAGGACTGACTCAACCTATCGCTAGTTTTTTTGTTTTTTTTTTCAAGGAGCCTCTGGGTGAACTCCAGCCCACACCCTTATAATTAGAAGTCGAGTGTGTTGCCCATTTGCACTAACCAGGGACTCCCGCAGTACTATATTATTGTTAAGTGCTGTCTAGTAGGTTCTGACTCATGGCGACCCTGTACAGGGTTTCCAAGGAGCCGCTGACTTCGCAATCCTGAGCTGATACTACAGCGCCTCACAAGGAGTCTAACACTAATATATTGTTGTTGTTAAGTGCCAGCGAGCCAGTTCCAACCCATAGTGACCGTGTTTAGGGTTTCCAAGGAGCAGCTGGTGAGCTTAAATTGCCGACCTTACAGTTCAAACCAACTTCACAGTTCAAAGCATTAACCCACAGCACCACACCAGGACTCCAACCATCCTTAGATTTTCAGTCTACTCCATTCCTAAAATCAGCCTGGATAGCACATGTCAGTTGATGGCCTATATTTGGTTATTTCCAATAGAAAAATAATCATTAGATTTATAATTATGCTACATTTATGAATGTAAAATAATACATCTAATTTGTAATACGATATTTTTAATCCATCAAAAGTTCTTATCAGTTCACTCAAATATCACTAAAATACTCTGAGACAGCTCTATGATAATCCACCACGTATATTTTATCATGAATTAACCACTTTTTACCCCTTAGTGAATTCTACCAGTAATCTTGTGTGTGGTGTACACATGAAAACCATCAAGCTGATTTTATTAGAATGATGGTTCATTTTCTGTCCCTGTCTCCATGGAGGCATCCCAGGCAAGAGGAGCGAGAAGTTCTATGATTGCTGCAAAGAGCCCTACCCTGATGTCACCTTCACGGTCACCATGCGGCGCAGGACCCTCTACTATGGGCTCAACCTGCTCATCCCCTGCGTGCTCATCTCAGCTCTGGCTTTGTTGGTGTTCCTGCTTCCTGCAGACTCTGGCGAGAAAATCTCTCTGGGTAAGTGCCTGGGGTGTGATGGGTGTCTGAGACACGAAGGGTGTGCCATGCAAATGAGTCATGGAGTCAGCTCTGTGGGGCTTATTGTGGACAGTGCAGAAGCTGGACTGGACTTGGGTTCTGATGCTCCAAGGGCCAGCTTGACCCATTTTGCAAGCAGTGATCCCCTGGCGCAAGGTGCTTGGCTCAGGGTCTGTCTTCACGACAGCAAGAGTTTTAGGTTGTGGGTCTGTGTTGGAAAGTCATGGCACAGAGAATATGGTTTTGTCATAGGGATTCCCCTTTGGCTGCCGCCTGTAGGATCCCAGTTGTTGGGGATGGTGACATGCAGTGAGGGACTAGCTAAATCCAACTGAGAGGGGCCTCCCTTGGTGGTGATGGACTACAGTATTTGTGGACATGGAACAGGTTCATATATCTGTGCCTTGCACAATTACTTATGGTGAAGTACTTATGGTAAGGAGCTCTGGTAGTACAGTGGTTAAGAATCGGGCTACTCACCTCATGGTCAGCAGTTCAAAACTACCAGCCATTCCACAGGAAAAAGATTTGCAGCCTTGGAAACTCTGTACAGGGTCGCTATGAGTCGGAACCAACTCCACAGCCCACCACCACCACCACCGATGCTGATAGTAGAGATAAGAAAACTAAATTTAGAATGGTAAGGGCCATTTTCTCAATGAATTATTAAAGATCATATTTAGCCCAAGAATTCATTCTCAAGTGCTTATCTCCTGACTCAGGCTCAGAAATGTTAAATGACTCATCTAACATCACATGGGTCGTTAAGTAGCAAAGTCAGCATCGGAAACCAGGTCATCTGACCAAATAGTTTTTTGTGCTTTTTTTCCTTTATAGAAAGTGCTTCTCAGTAATAATGTCATCAATAAAATGGAATCTAAGTGTGCTCAGTTCACCTTTTCCTTTCTTTGTTGATTATTCTAAAGTTCTGGTTCCTAAACTTGTCTCCACCAGGGGCTCTTTTGTGTATCAGGTGAATGACGCAGATTGTCCCCAGAATAATGTCCATGGATGTGTACACACAAGTCATAGATAGTGTAGGAGTATCACTGAACTCCTCCCTGGTCCTTTACATCTCTGCTTGGAGCCCTGTCATCAGTTTGTCTAAGGAACTTTTGTGTGTTCTGTTTCAGGAATAACGGTGTTACTCTCTCTCACTGTCTTCATGCTGCTTGTGGCTGAGATCATGCCAGCAACATCTGACTCAGTGCCATTGATCGGTAAGGCATGGACCGGGGCTCCTCTCTCAAGGCATGGGGTGAAAGGGTGCATGGGATTTCCCAGCAGACACCAGGAGAACTACACTCTGCAGGTTTGTTTTCTGCTCTGGGGGGTTGTCTTCTGTAACTATACACTGTGACTCAGCTTCTGCTTCCCTGCTGCTGGCTGTGACCGAGAGGGTTATTTTGGGGTCTCACCCTCTGTCTTTTCTCTCTGCAGCCCAGTATTTTGCCAGCACCATGATCATCGTCGGCCTTTCTGTGGTTGTGACAGTGATAGTGCTACAATACCACCACCACGACCCTGACGGGGGCAAGATGCCAAAGTGGGTATGTCCAGCCTCAAAGACTCCACCAGCTCCCCCGAGTCAGACCACTCAGAAGTGCAGACTGTGGCCTGAGGGTGTGGCCTTATGGTCACAAGGTTGTCATTTATTTGCTTTACAGATCTTGACAACAGAGTGTGATAGCAATAAATGAGGCGTTCTGGTGTGATACTGTAGGAGAAGCAAGGTTGGCAGTTCAAACCCACCAAGTACACCACCAGCCACTCCTCGGAAGCACTACACAGGGTTGCTCTGAGTAAGGGCAGATTTGACAGCACTTAACAACAACAAGCTTTGGTAGTGTAGTGGTTACAATGTGTGCTGCGAGCTGCAAGGTCAGCAGTTCGAAACTACCAGCTGCTCTATGGGAGAAAGATGAGGCTTTCTGCTCCTGTAAAGATTTACAGTCTTGGAAACCCTGTTCAGGGTCACTATGGGTTGGAACCAACTCGACGGCACACAACAACAATCATATTCAATGAATGTCATTAATTGTCTATTTTTGAAATAATCCAGAAAGCTGTCATTCCTAAAAAAAGAGCTTTATTTTTCTGTGAGTTCACCCATCTTTGCAGAGATTACGCTTATGGTGAACATGTGTCTTGGCATCCCATGAGACTCTTGTTTGTTTTCTTATTTTTATCTAGCCTTCCAACGGGTTCACAAGCTGACCACTCTGTGTATTTAACAAGCACAGCAATTTGAAAAGAACAACGCTAAACTATTTTGTGGCTACATACCACAGATTACTAATTGGGAGCAACAGAAGAGTGGTTGAATCTTCCAAGCAAAATGAGTTCTGCAGGGAGTAGAAAATAGGGTGAGCTGTGTGGAAATGCATACAGGAACTTAATCTATCTAAAACTACCTAGAAAATCAATGTTAAAAGTCACAGATGGGGGAAGAGTATGGACTACAAGGAAATTCATGAATGAATACCTAGAGGGGAATTTTTTTTAATGTTTTATTGTGAATTATGTGATAGTTTACATGGGAAAACATTAGCTTTACTTTCATCCCATTCATCCTATTGTATATATCCTGTCATTGCCATGGTTACAATCCCCTCCATGCATCATTAGCCAACCCTGCAAGCCTGCCCTCGGTCATCAGCACACAGCCCCTCTCTCTCTCTGGGTCTTGAGTCCCCAGCCACTCTATCTCTCCACATCATCATCTCTGCCTCCATCTCTGGCATCACTGCTTCTCTGGGTAGGGTCCAGCTCTCCGCTCTTCTCCCTTGATGGTCCCAGGGACCTCTGCTCCTGGACTACGAAGTCAGTCATTCCCCTCCTTTTGCTACAAAACGTCCACCTTTACATTTCCAACCCTCACAGTCAGTGCTGATAACAATTATTCACCATTGTACTACTAGGGACCTATCCCCATCTCCTGTCATTAGCCCCTCCCCGACAGACTGGATACTACTCAGTGGAGATTCTACCTTCCTCTGTACCTAGCAGGAAATATTTAAAGACTAAAGCTCCCTATGGGGGCTCAGCCTGCCAGTCTTTATCAGACCTCCCAAGCACATTTTTAGCCCCCTGCTTGGGCGTGTCTGCTGCTGCTTCCCCAGCTACATGATGTGGTCCTTCAGAGTCCACTGTCCTAAGGTTTTATGTACCGAAATTACCCTCTGTGACAGCCAGGAAACCTTGATTCAGGCTGAACTTGGACCTATACTTTACTACTTGCCATGGCAAAATCCATGTCAGGGAAAGGCTGGTCCCTCTTGATAACATGTCCAAAGTACATGAGATGAAGTCTTGCCCCCTTACAGACCTGCCCAATTGCCCTGTCCAAATATGTACCCTAAAATGGCTGGGAACTTACCCATCAAGTTCAGAAGGTCGATTGCTGTTGTTGTTGTTAAGTGTCGTTGAGTTGGTTCAGACTCATAGTGACTCTGTAGAGGATTTCTGAGGAATGGCTGGTGGGTTTGAACCATTCATCTTGTGGTTGGCAGTCCAGTGCATATACTACAGCACCACACCAGGGCACCAGAAGAGACATTAGTAACCACCAAAGTACTAAATGAAGCTGTAGAATGCATTTACTTTACCTCCAGTTTCAGGGAGTTTTAGGTCAGGTCTCTTAAAACTATTTATTGTGGGATAATTTACCATCCTAGTGTGATGCTATAGGATAAAGCACTGGACTGCAAGGTCAATTTGAGCCACAAAGGCAACCATTCAAACTCACCAGCCACTCGTTGGAAAACGATACAGGGTCGCTATAAGTTTGAATCAACTCAATGGCACTTAACAACAACAAAAAGTTAAATTAGGAAAAATTATTTTACACAAAGATTGTATTCACAAAGTTGTTATTTCCCCTTCTATGTGTCAGCTTCCCCTCCAAAATTCAGTACAGCCTCATGTACTTGCATCCCGTCACTGGGACAGTAGCATACAATGATGCCTCTCCCACACACAGGCATGTCACATAGCCTGTGAGGCTGGTTTTGACAAAGCTTATTCCCCAATCTCTTAAAATCGGGGATAGATTTGCACATAGTCACCTACATTTTCATGTAACTTTCTGAAAACTAAAGCAGGCTAATGCAGACATCTAACCAGGTGGGAGAGCTGGATCTTGTTGATTTATGTGGCTTTCTGTCTTTAGGTCTGTACTAGTCTCCTAGGGCTGTTGAACTATAAACTGGGTGGCTTACCAAGCATTAATTTTTCATCTCATGACTCTGGAGTACAAATTCAGTGTCTTCTGGACTCAGAGGAAATCTGTTCCATGCTTCTCTCCTATTTGGGTCGATGTCTCTTCTTCTTGAAACACACCACTCTAGGACCTACATTACTTTGATATGACTGACCTCATGTGACCATAACTAATCCATTCTGCAAAAACCTTATTTCCAAACAAGGTCATGTTCACAGTTACTGGAGTTAAGACTTCCATGTATCTGTTTGGAGGACACAGTTGAATCTGCAACGCTATCCATCAATCTGTTTGAAACAGGTAATCCATTCACATGTTTTGAAGCCAACATAAAAGAGAAGTCATTCACAAGATAATTGTGCACCCTCTCCTGCTCCACCACTACTATGCTATTGTGATCAGGTACCATCCAGTAGGATCTGACCTATAGCGGCCCTGTGTACAACAGAATGGTTCTGCACAATTGTTGTTGTATTTGAGCCTATAGTTGCAACCACTGTGCCAATTCATCTCACTGGGAATCTTCACTCTTCTTCCCTGATTTCTTTGCCTTACCAAGAATGAGGTCCTTTTGCAGGACTGGTCTCTCCTGATAACATGTCCACAGTATGTGAGATGAAGGCTTGCCACCTTTATTTGTAAGACAGATCTGTTTGTCCTTCTGACACTCAGTGGTATATTCCATATTCTTTGTCTATACCATAATTCAAATGCACTGATTCTTCTCCAGTCTTTCTTAGTCATTGTTCAGTTTTTCCATGCATATACTTCAGCTTGGGTCAAACACACCTTATTCCTTCAACTGACATATTTTCTCTTAAATACTTTAAAGAGGTTTTTTGCAGAAGATTGATCCAATGTCATTATAACTGCTCCTTCCATGAGCGTTAATTGTGGTTTTTGTTGTTAGGTGCCATCCAGTTGGTTCCAACATATAGCGACTTTAGACACAATTGAACGAAACACTGCCCAGTCCTGTTCCAGTCTCACAGTCATTGCTACATTTGAGTCATTACTGCTGTCACTGTGTTATTCCATCTCATTGAGGGTCTTCCTCTTTTTTACTGACCCTCCACTTTACCAAGCATAATGTCCTTCTTTAGGGACTGGTCCCTCCTAATAATATGTCTGAAGTATAAGGGACAAAGTCTGGCCATCCTGGCTTCCAAGGAGCATTTTAGCTGTACTTCTTCCAACACAGATTTGCTTGTTCCTCTGGCAGTCCATGATACTTTTAATATTCTTCCCCAACACCATAACTCAAATGCATCAATTCTTCTATGATTTTCCTTATTCATTGTTCCACTTTCATGAG